CCAAACTATTAGGTACCTTTCGGGCAAAAGTTCGACACAAATTAAGCCAATGAAGGATGACAATGGAAAGTCAATAATCAAAGAGGTGGAGCGAAGAAAACACTGGGCTGAACACTTCAGAAGACTTCTAAATCGACCGCCACCTACAACGCGCCCAATAATACCAACAGTGGAAGAAAAACCACCAGTGGACATCAACCCCCCGAGGAGAACAGAAATCCTGAGGGCAATCAAGATGCTAAAAGCTGGAAAAGCAACAGGACCAGATAGAATCCCAGCAGAAGCATTGAAAATGGACCCAGAGACAACAGCGGACTTGATGACGCCACTACTGGAGAAGGTGTGGAAAGAAGACAAAGTACCCGAGGATTGGAAGAAAGGATACCTATCCAAACTACCAAAGGAAGGAGACTTAAGTCAATGCAAGAACTGGCGCGGAATTATGCTCCTGTCCATCCCAAGCAAAATACTAAGCCGCATCATCCTGGAGAGAATCAAACAAGCCCCGGATGAAAAACTTCGGCCAGAACAAGCTGGATTCGGGAGAAACAAGTATGGCATCGATTAAATTGCAACACTACGGATCATCATTGAACAAAGCTTGGAATGGCAGTCAGCTCTCTATCTCAACTTCATTGACTTTGAAAAGGCCTTCGATAATGCAGCATCGATCGAGAGGTGGTTTGGCAACTACTTCGCTACTACGGGGTGTCACCAACAATTATACATCTCATCCAACAGCTGTACGACAATGCTGCATGCCAAGTAATCCACAACGGGAAACTTACGGAATCCTTCGAAGTGAGGACAGGAGTAAGACAAGCTGGCTGCCTACTATCTCCGATGATTTTCCTGATTACAGTAGACTGGATAGTGCGACAGACAGTGGGCAATGAGGAAACAGGCATAAAATGGACTCACGCAAAAAACTTGGAAGATCTGAACTTCACCGATGATATATGTCTGATTTCCCACAAACTGGAAGATATGCAAGTGAAAAGCAACAAGTTCCCAGAAGAAGCATCAAAGATAGTACTACAGGTGAACATAGAGAAAACAGAGGTGATGAAGATTCCTGGACAACACCACCAACAGCAACAACAACAGACAATAATCAGCATAAATGGAAGGAACCTGAAAGAAACAACCTCCTTTACCTACCTGGGAAGCATCGTTTCAACTACAGGCGGAACTGACGGGGATATCAAAGCAAGGATTGGGAAAGCAAGACAAGCTTTCATTTCTCTCAAGTCTGTATAAAGGTCAACAGAACTCAGCATCAAAAATAAGATCCGGATTTTCAACTCCAATGTGAAGTCAGTGCTACTATATGGATCAGAGACTTGGCGTGTCATAAAGAGCATCTCAAACAAACTGCAGACCTTCATCAACAGCTGTCTTCGCTCAATACTTCACTCAAGATCAGATGGCAGGCCAGAAAAGATCAGCAATAGTGAGAGATCTCTGGGAGCGAACCAACCAGGAACCGATTGTGCAACAAATAAGCGGGAAGAAATGGAGGTGGACTGGTCATACTCTGAGGAAACCATCAAGTGACATCACACGCCAGGCCATTGCTCGAGTGGAACCCGAATGGGAAGCGGCGAGTTGGTCGTCAGTGCGAGAATGACATGGAGGTCATATGAAGAGGAGATGAAAGCGTGTGGGCAGACTTGGAGCCAGGTGAAAACTCTAGCAGAGAATCGATCGCAGTGGAGACGCGTGCCTGAAGCCCTATGTTCCTCTAGGAATTAAAGGAAACAATAATTATAATATAATAAACATAACGGTATAAGACTGTGAGACTTTATCAAACAAAATTTACCCATAATGCAATTAGAGTCTACCACAGCGCATAAGTTTTATTCTTATATCAATCAGTCTGTATACTGTGCTGTTCGCAAACGTTCTTCACCTTATTTTCAATTGAAATCTTATTTGAAATTAGGCTTGTCTTCATCTCAGATAATACGATAAATTAATTCAGTCAATTTATTTCACTCATTTTTTTCGAATATTCTATCTATATTTATATGAGCACAAATAACTTCTTTCCTACTCCTAGGAAATATATGCAACTTTTTTTGACTTGTATATTAGTTTGAAGTAAATTGAAATTAATTTAACGCTGTTGACAATTCAGATTCAATCATGAAATATCTTCTGTAGAGGAAAGCCATGAATTTGAAACGCTTATTTGCATGAAGGTGTGCTTGCAGAGTATTTCCTGCATTACTTACTGATTATTTTTGAAACATTAATTTCATGACCATTAACTGTCAGGTGGAGAGATATCTCATTGCAGAAAAATTCTGCACCTTTCAATCCAAGTTTCTTGAATTGTGGTTGAATGTACATTCACAAATCCTTCTCTCTATTTGTGCGGTGTTTGTGCTTTGACACTTTCATTTAAACTAGTGTATACGGAAGCACACATATCGCAAGAACTGAAAAAGGATTTGTGACAGCATATCTGGGTACATTCTCAGAAACTTGTGGCATAAAGGTGCAAAATTCTTCAACAGCGCTATCTCCCATCACCTAATAGGTAATGACATGAAATTAATGTTGTAAAAACATCATTTAAGATAATTAAAGTGCAGGCTACCTCCAATTTACCACATATCGTTGAAGTAATAATACATTATTCATGTACTTTTCACAAATATCTAGGTACTTAGGCAAGCTTTTCATTACTGACTTTCAGGTCAGCTGAACATGCGCAGTCTTACTTTTAAATACTTCCTTTTAACTGAGATGTTTTAAGTTGGACAAAGCCTTTGATTGCTATTCTTTAAGAAGAAAGTTACGTAACCAGACGGCATATATAATCCAGAGATAACTTCTATACTCATTATTTATTAAATGTCTCAACCATAATGAGAATTGAGTATGATCTCTTAATATCACGCAGTAATCTGAAAAATTCAACAAACTTGATCTATTCTAACAAAATAACTAAGCACTTTTTGACTGGATACTAGTCAGTAACTAGTGTAATATCTGACCCTATCGTTGGTACAGAGTGAATTTATCAATCAACTTCGCAATATGGCCACAATGCTATGTGGCTTACCATCACGGTGGTCTGTGAATTGTTGGCATCAGATGGTTGGAGGCAATCGGTAGGAAACCTTGGACTTAGGTTTTGTCCTAGTTGGCACTCACCAGTCAGCAAGGTGTATCTGCAACCTTCAAGGAACTCAAGTGCCTTCTGAGATTCAAACCCACGTCATCATCCTGTGCTGCAGTCAGAGACGTTACCACTGCGATTGATAGGATTCAGTCTGCACCAAAGATAAGACTAGACACATACATACATATTATACAAATTACGAACTAGTGCCCAATCAAAAATATCCAATACAGTTCTATAGAAGGTCAATCGCGAGCCCAAATGGCACAGTGGTAACGTCTTTAACTGCAGCATTCGGGGTAATGTGGGTTCGGATCTCACAAGGGACATGAGTTCCTTCAAGGTTGCAGATACAGCTTGCTGACTGGAGAGTGGTAACTAGTTCGAAACCTAGGTCTGTTGTGAATTCCTGCCGATCGCCCCAAGCCATCTAATAACTACGCATTATCAATACCACCAGCACTATTGTTTCAGAACTATTTCTCCTTCATTTCGTTCTTTAATTGTTAAATTTTATGTCAAATGATATCAATGACGTCTAAGTAAGAAAATAAATGCTAGTTAAACGGTGACAGCTTATTTAAACATTTTTTTGAAAAAAGAAATGTAAAATTCTATCCAGAAAAGATATAGAGTGAAGCGTAACAAATAGATGTCAATGAACTATATACTATACTATTTGCATGAATAAAAATATATTTCAGCGAAACTGTTGACAGGATGATAATGATATCTGTCTAAGGTAACTTAAAAGGCACTGAAAATAAGAGATACGGAAATCTCTGAAAAAAGGCAGTTTATATGGGAGAAATAACAGAATAGTAGAGTATGTTAATGTTGTTAATCATAATTCTTTCAGTCTTTAATTGTTCCCAAATAATTAAATAGCAGTTACTAATTTTGAATTAAACTAAGATAGTCTTGTTTTTGACAATGAATCTTATTCCAACGGGACGGAAACTCAGTTTGAAATCAGATCTTTACTAACTTAAGTAAGTGGCGCAAAAGCTGATCTCATAACATAAAGAGTATAACACTTTGGCAAAATCCATGAAGCTCGATTCAAATACTGCTAAATTTTTGGTCTATCAATGAACGGCTCATTTATTCATGACAAAAGTGTTTGATATTACTTCATAGGATCATTTGTACCTCCGGATCTGACAGTATTGTTTCCTACCAGCCAAATAAATCTAACAAAACGAGATCATGCTGGGCAGAAACGTTTTACAGGTAACTAAGGTCACAGAGAATCAGTATGACTGCTAACAGTTTTCCTGTATTGCGAGTTATTATTATTCTTTTGTGCTAAGACCAAACTTTACAACTAAAAGTTGTTATTATGATGCCTTATTATTAGAAGACTGTAAATTAAGCGAAGAAAATTTTACTTCTCATTTAGATTCTTTGCAATTTTAATACACCATAGTGCTTAAATTCACCAATGATACTTATGGTCTTACGGTTCGAAGAGTAATCAATAAACTCACACGACTATCATAGATAGAAACAGGTTTTACAAATCATCCTATTTCTAACATTCGTTGCTAAAAAGTTGAATAGTTCCTAAATATCTTTGCAAATGTACTATAAATTATTTAAATTAATCACAGCGTGTTAAGAAAATCAAAACAAGATCCACAGCTTCTTCAGCAGATTTATTCGGATTTTTATTAATCATCAAAATACATAGTCAACAATTTTTTACATAAATTGAAGTCTTGTAAAAGGACAAACTGACGAGAAACTAAAGTTTACCATATACAGAAAGCCGACACTTTCAAACAAGTATTTGAATTTCCAATCAGATCATCCAATAGGAATGAAAGTTTCAGTAGCTTTAAATCTTGTTAACAGATCTAGAAACATTATAACAGATAAGGACGATATGGAGAACGAGATATCCAATATAAAACAGATTTTGATTGGAGATGGTTATCCAAAAAGCTAATAGATAATATTACCAATAAAAAAGGAGCATAAGGGAAAACAAAAAATTGAAAAATCTTGGCTATCGACGATAGCCAATCCATATCAAAAGGACACAGCTGAACAACTTCAAAGACTATTTGCTTCATATAATATTAAAGTCTATGTCAAACCTTCTAATTCTCTGGAGAAAGCGTTGGTGCATGTCAAAGATATAGTTCCCAGAATGTCACAAAGTAATTGTGTCTTCAGGATAAAGTGTTCAGAATGTGATGCATGCTATATAGGGGAGAGCAGTAGGCAGGTGAAGGTCAGAGTGAATGAACATAGACTATGCACGAAACGTCCACCTAGAAATGAAGTAGAATTAAAAAGTCTAGAAAAAAGATCGGCTATAGCAATGCATGCGATAGACAGCGGACATAAGATCGATTTCGATAATGTCGAAATTCTTGGAAGAGGTTTTCATTCACATAAAGAAAGATTGACTTCTGAAGCCTTGCACATTTTAACCACATCGAATGCAGTGAATAGGAAAGAAGGGATAGACTTATCACCTATATGGCAAACTCTTATGAAGCAAGACAGATGGAAAAACCATTCTATGAGCCTCCATGATCTTTTTTAAAACATGTAGGATCATGTTTATCACATATGAATTCACATATTTTCCACATGACAAATAACATACATGCACACACACACTCATACAAAACTAATCTGTACAAATCAACTATAGAAGAGTGAACACAACAACAATTTGACATTAGTCATTAAAAATATATGTGATAACTGCTTACATATTTCTATTGCTAAAAATGTCCATGGATAAATGACCTTCAAATAAACTGAATTCAATTTATGTAAAAAATTTTTGACTATGTATTTTGATGATTAATAAAAATTTGAATATATCTGCTGAAGAAGCCGTGGCTTACACAGCGAAACGTTCAGAAAAGGGATCTTGTTTTGATTTTCTTAACACGCTGTGATTAATTTAAATAATTTATAATGGATCAATCTGACTCGGCGCTCAATTTATTCCATGAAGTTCGTAACACCTACGGTTTGGAAACTTATAATGTTTGCAAATGCTTTCGAGTTGCAACAAGAAAATTGAAAGAAGCAGAAGAAAACCTGAGTGGACGCTGTTTAAGAGAAGGAATCCATAGAACTATGAATAAACTAATCGCCACCAGCATAATTTCAATGTTGATGAATAAGAAAAATAAAAAATAAATCGACTACATAGGAATAATTAAAGATGAAGTAGGCAGAATAATACGAGTTAAAATAATAATTTAAAAATGACAACTGGGGGAGGGGAAGATTATCAGTTTTTTTACATTCATGCAAGGATAACTAAATTAAGAAAAGTGGCCGCATGAATATCTACTCAACATACAGTTTTGGCTTCTTTAGACAGATTCTGATAACTTCTGCTGTATGTAAAGACGAACTCATGAAGCAGATTTAAAACTAGTATGAGTCCGATAGATACATTTAAATGTTTTGTTTGAATTTACTTAGTTATTAGTTTCTAAAAGTTGTACTAAAACAGAGCAGACCTTATCTGTTCCTTGACTGTTTGGAAATCAAGTGATGAACTTACCTGGTTGTTAAGTGTTAATCATTATATGAAATGCTCAGTTAAGGGTGAGGACAGATAAATTAAAAGTTAATAAATACTAAAATCCCAGTGGAAGTCTTTAATTAACTGATACAGAAGTGTACCTTGAACGCCAATTCTGAATTCGATGGTGAGCTCTATAGAAAAGTACAACAGTTGAATTATCTTTCGAATAGACAAAAACTGAAAAATATGAACCACAGGATTTCAACTTAGAGCTACTAACTAAAAAAATTTTAAAATGGTGGTTTTGTTTTCCTTTAATGTGGAGAGTTCACACAGCTAAGAAATTTTCAAAATTCTATAAATTTTTGCATAATTCTTTATTTTATACCAGAATGTGATAAAAACTTTAGTAAACCCTGGAGGTCGCTTTAAATAAAAACAAAGAGATCATTTTTTACAGAGTCAAATGCATTTATTTATTATTTATTTTCACAAAATGCACGTTGTCTGCAAAGGTGGACAGTAAACGGCAGAAGGTAGACTTAACACAGACATAAATCCATCACCATCATGTGTTTAGTATGCAAGTGAATAAAAATGACTACAAACTAATCAGTGTCTTTTATTGTCACAAGATTCTCGCTCCATTTCAAAAGGTCCAAAATACTCATTAAATTACGAAGAAAATTAAAGGCAATTCAGAGAAGAAAATATTTATTTATCAACGAAATCATCTTCAGAGGCTGTAAAATCATACTTACATTGCAAGAAAGGTATAGTTGTAGGGGACTTAACAGCGAGCTCGGTAAAAGTGAAGAATATTAGGATAAAAATCTAAGTTAGTTGGAAAATTTGAAGCAGTATATTATAAATAAATACAGTTAACGAGTTATGGAAATTACTGGTTACTTGATGATACGGTTAAAGTCCACTGCTACAAATTATTAATATCATCCACAGGAAGTGTTCACTGCTGCCGTCGTGTCTACTAGTAGAAGTTGTGCACCAGTTGTAGAATAGTCTTCGAATGAATAGTTCCCGCAAAATCCAAGGGATGCGACATGGTTAGTAGTGAAGCAAGTAGACAGTATGGATCGCTGAGAAGAGGGAGCGACGAGCAGTTCGCTTTATTTTAGATTGTACTTCAAAATTTTGTATATTTTACCATGAACCGTTTTAAACAAAAGTGATGCACAACGTTTCCAATTGTAACATCTAACAAAAAATGTACAATCATACTCTTCCAGACTTCATATAGCTAAATCCTTACTTTCACTGTGTCGTTATCTACTGCATATTTTTTTGTGTTTAGAAACCACTTATAAGTAATTCTATAAATTGTGACCCCACCCCTATTACTAAGTAATAGACTACTACATTTTTCTTAGAAGTATGAGTACGATTTTACGCTCCCTGAAGATGACTAAGTTGATAAATGAAAAATTTCTTTAATGGATTGCCCTTTATTTTCTCCATAACCGGTGCTTTTTCTATCATATCTTAACAATGGTTATGGTGATGTCAAATTCTTTTAAAGCAACTCGTTAAGTATAACAAATATTTTTGAAAACTGCACAGGAATGACTACTTGACATATCTTGAGCCTTCGATGACATCGGAGTAGGCGCTAACAGTATTTATTTGAATCCGGTTTCATTCACATATTTTTTTACTTCCTTCATTGGCATTACAATTTCTTAAAATCTCAGTTTTTCCCTGTTTTCACCTTGATGGTTATTAATTCAGTACTGTTTTGATTTTGTTTATCTTAATATACAACAAGGTGCTTCATTTTCATGTGCAACTTCTTTGCTAACATTCTTATCACACAGGTGTTAAGAGCTCAGATTATATTTTTTCAGTTATTTCAGTAGGCTTCATAAACTATTAAAATCTCCAAAAACCGTTTTACTTTAAACAACAATTTATTGATGAAAATTCATCTAGCAAATAATTTTGTGTAAGTTGAATCCAATAAAACAAAATTAACACATAATTATCCTGAAATCTCACGACACAAAGGCCGTCGAATGGAACCCGAACAAGAAGCAACTAGTTGAGTGTCTTACGATGACACAGAAATCACATGACGAGTAAATGAAAGCTTGTGAGCAGCTAAAAAATGATAGCTGAAGCTCCACAATCCACTTGGAACCCAAGGAACAAATGATAATCTCCTTTGATACAATATAAAAATCCCTTATTTCGCCTACTCCTTTTATTATATCTCAATGGTTAGATATTATCTGGGCGTTTTTACTAATACTAATTATTCTATACTGAAAAATGTTTGAACACGACTTGGTTGGACTTTCTAAAATAACTCACAGACAGCTTTAACAATTGGAATTTTCATTGTATTTAAATTTAATTGAGTAACTTTTAAATATTAGGTATTGAATTTATTTAGATTCAGAAGGAGATGGAAATTTTATTTTTCTTAACTATTATTACTAAATTTTAAAATGCCAACTTGCTTTTTAACTACCTACAGTATCTCAGAGATAATTTTATGATTTCAACAGATGTGAGGCTTCATTTACCTGAAACATTAACTGATCAGTATTTAAAGGTCAGGAACAAAGAGGAATAGTCATGTCTAAATAATTCACTAACCTGATACTAAAATTTATACCAAATCTTATTAAAGATAAACAAAATATTTCATTAAATTGCACAAAGTGACAGTAATCTAATAGTGACAACCAAGTCATTTAATTCGCCCTGATTAATCGTTTCTGTTCAATACATACAAAATTGAATTTAACATGTGAGTGGAAAGTAAAAGTTAAACTAAATCTATGATTGACAGAAAAATTCTTCGCATTTTCTTTAATATGACTCGAATAAAACAGATGTAAGAGGTACTGGACTATTCATGAAGCATTCAGGAAAGTAAATGCATTGAAAAAAGGTTACATCAGTACATGTAAATTAGATGAGAACTACATGACAGTGGATTTTGTACACAAATACTTTGCTGAACTGATGCATAGACTGTTTAAATTGACCACTTGTCAACCTGTTTAACCTAAGGTAATGATTTAATTTTATATACTGAATGTCTGAAATAATTACTGACTTGGAAATATTAGTTATCCCTTTACGCAACGTTCACTGTTGGCTACAATATATCTCCAACCCAAAATTTTCTCAGGTTACAGCCAATCAATAAGGTTTAAACCTCACAAATGTTGCTACAAGAACTAAATTCAAATCTACTGTGAAACATTCGATACGTTTGGCACTTATTTCTAATACCCGCGAAGTTTACATTCCAAGCTTTTTCTTAAATATACTCAGCTAACTGTCGGTCAGCTAACAAACAAACCTATGGATATACTAGGGAGAATAAAAGAACTAATAAATGTCACTGAAATGAAAAATATCTTTCCCTCTTTTAAACAGAGGATAGTTGTTTCTATGGTTAAACATGAATAAACTAATAAATGTAACGCATAAGAATAAATTCATCATCTGTAGAGATAACAACTGACTAAATTTTATCATATATGCATCTTTTTTTCAAAAAAAGAAAGTTATGATAACAAAAGGAAAAGTGTTGTGCAAAGTAAAAACTTTTTCCACATATTCTAAATTTAGAATTATTCAGCTTAAAAATCTAACTTTCAATGAAAACAGTTTAATTTATCTGCATGTAAAGTGTCTATTTGTTTTTATTTCGTTCTGTTTTCTGACTTCTTAGACAAGTGAAACAAAAGAGAAATTATTTAGAAGTGGCATTTAAGCAAATATGGTGTACATTGAAAGATACTATCTAGCATTGGAAAGAATAGAAATACAGTATTTTTGATAAAAGAAATTACAAATGCAAACAATTTGTTTAACTTTCTTTCTTCAGTTAAAAGGTGATATATGAAACCTTACAAGACCAAGAGTTATTATTGTTATTCCTTTGGGTTCCGAGTGGAAAATAGATCTTCAGCAACACATCTCCACTTTGTCCTCTTCAACTGGGTCTACGATTGCCTATAATCTCTCACCTCCTACTCTTGCGATCTCTTCCATGTCACCTTCGGACTACCTACTCGTCACTTCCCATCAGGATTCCACTCGAAGGACTAGAGCGTGATATATTTGACACAAATTAGAAGTTAA